ATCCTCACCACAATGCTATGAGATTTATTATTTTACCCTTTGGGGCCAATGGGGAAACTGAGGCACGGCACCCTTACATAACAAGGCCACTCCACTGATGGAGCCCAGGTGTGAGCCCCAGCAGGACTCAGAACTCAGGGGATGGTTGGATGGGGGAGGTGAGGGGCCATGGTCCACACTGCTCCCCTTGAAGGCTGCTCACTTTCCACCTGGTCCTGCTGCCCCTGCAATCTGCCCCTGGAGAGGAAGGTGGGGTGGCAGGATGGGGTTTCTCTGAGAAAGTTTGTTGACCCCAAACTCCCGCCCTGGCAAAACCTGGTGGCCTGGCCATCCCAGAATGGCCTCTGCCTCACCGCCAGCTGGGAGTACCACTGCCTGGGTGATCCTGGGCAGGGGCGGCTGTGCAGAGGGTGGGACTCTGACCCTCAACAGACCCAGACCAGCAGTGTAGGCCTGAGGAATGAGCACAGTCTGTGGGCTGTGCAGAGGATGGGACCCTGGCCCTGGAGTCCTGCACCTGCCTTCTGCTCCGTGCAGCAAGGGAAGAGACCCCGGGTAGGGTCAAGGTGGTGGGGCTGCCCTGCATCATCCCACCCTCAGCCACCCCACGGACCCTCCAATCAGTTTCATCAGTCTCCCTTTGCAAAGCTGCCCTGCGCCATGGTCTCACACAACCTTCTGGACCTTCTAGACTTCCCGTGGCCATTAGCACCTTTCTTGCTTTGCCTTTGAGTTAGGCAGGGCAACCTGCACTGTGCCCACTTGGCAGATCAAAAAACAGACCCAGACCATCAGTATGAGCCTGGGGAATGAGCAGAAATTTCAGGATCAGGAAGGCCAGGCTGGAGTGCTGGCTCTGCAGCATCACAGGTATGTGACCTTAGGCAGGCACCGAGCCTCAGTTCCCTCATCTCTAAGTGGGCCTCCCTACTTACCCAGGCTGTTGAGAGCAGCCTAGAACTGTTTGCACAGAGCTTCCCTAGTGCGGGGCCTGGCATGCAGTAGAGTGCTCGATGGAGACAGCTGCTGCCGTTAGCATTCTGATTGAGTGCTAATGAGCCCAGCACATTAGTGGCTGAGCTGGGCCTAGAACAAGGGGCTCTGGCTCTAGGCCCAGCGCACTTACGCCAAACCCCACCCTGCACTCCCAGCGGGACAGGCCATGGGTTCTCAGCCTCCACCTTCCTGCCCCAGCAGGAGCTGAGTGGGGGTGCTGGCGTCATTATTCCCTCCATCATCTTAGGTGAGGGGCCCACTTGGCATCAGGCCGGGAGCCCACGCGGCACAGCATTCGCCCACAGCAGATGGGAAGTGGGGGTGCGGGAGTCGTGTTCTTCTGATTCAGACACTGGGACAAGGAAGGACTCACACACGATCAAGCGAGCCCACCTCCTCCATGGCCTTCCTGGCCGCTGCAGAGCCAGTGGCTCTGACAAAAGAACAGCTTGAGCGCACACCCCCTCAGCCCGCACGTTTTCTCCTCCAAACGGCGTCTGTTTAAATAGCCTCGACACGCTGTTCTTGCTGGCAGGTCTTCCTCCCTCTGTTCTTCCTGGCAAGTCTTCCCCGCTCTCTCCCTTTGCTGGAGAGAGGAGATGCTGGCTCCAGGGATATCAGCTTGGCCCAGCCCCATTGCTATAGACAATTCAAAAGGACTCCTGCCTCGGTTTCCCATCTGTGAAATGGGGATAGGAAGAGTGCCAGCCTCAGCAAGTGGTCGCGAGGATTCATGAGTAAACACATGCCAAGTGCCAATGATGGGCCTGGTGCACAGCCTCATTCCATGCGTGCCCCTCTGGCCTCAAGCTTGGCACAGAGGGGGTGGGGAACTGAGGACAGAACAGCGCCTGGGACTGGGGAGACCCTGCCCCAGCCCTTCCAGCCCTGAGATGAAATGCATCCCGTGAGCTGATTGCCTCAGTCCAAGGCTTCCTGGAAGTCCAGCCATCTCGAATGCAGTGGGTGGCTGAACCTGTCACCCTGTGGGCCATCCAAGCTCACTTGAAGGCTCTGGAGGTAATGTGCGCCCCATCAGCTAATGTAGTCAAGCCCCACAGTTGGCATTATGTTTTTATAGTCCATGAGGACCTGTCACTTGTCCTCCCATCCTTCCATCTGTCCTGGGAATGGACAAGAGGAAGCCTGTTTCACCCCCCACACACTTTTTTTTGAGTCTCGCTCTGTTGCTCAGGCTGGTGTGCAGTGGCATGATCATAACTCACCGCAGCCTCAACCTCCCAGGCTTAAGCAATCCTCCTGCCTCAGCTACCCAAGTAGCTGGGGCTACAGGCATGCACCACCATGCCTGGCTAATCTTTGTATTTCTTGTAGAGATGAGGTTTCACCATGTTACCCAGGCTAGTCTCGAACTCCAGGGCTCAAGCGCCCATCTTGGCCTCCCAAAGTGCTGAAATTACACACATGAGCCACGTGCCCAGCCTGTTCCCATTTTAGAGGAAGGGAAACCAAGGCTTTGTGGTTAGTCTGCACCAGAGCCAGGGTTTGTAGGCACCTTGACAGAGGAGCCCTCGGGAAAGCAAAGATGAACGTAAGGGGGGAGTGCACTGTAAGGCTCCTATGCCCATCCCATGCCCACCTTCACCTGGCCTCCACCCCAGCCTGGTGGGCCAAGTAGGCATCTGCGTGGATAGGCGGCCGTGACCTCTTACACAAGAGGTGGGTAGGGGGGATAATGGTGGCCAGAGTCCCCCCTCTCCCGCTGCTTTCATGGGTCCCTTTCCAGAACCAGCCTGGATGACCTCAGTGACTTGTGTCATGGAGAGGTTGATCCTTAGCCCCTCCCCACTGCCAGCAGAAGAGGGGGGTTGCTGAGTGTGAGTGGCACCAGACCCCCTGCCCTATGAAGCAACCTCACCTTTCCCATGGGAGCCAAGGGACAAGTGGGACAGAGAAGGAATAGGGCTTCTGGAGAGGCTGCCTGGCAGATGCCAAGAGAGGCTGTGTGGTGAGTGATGCAGAGGGGGTGGACGAGCCAGACTGCTAGGCTCAGCTCCCAGCTCTGCTACTGCTCCTGGTGTGATCTTGGTTAACTCACCCCAGTTTTCCTGCCCCTGAAATGGGGATACTGTTAAGTGGATTCAGAGAGGGAATGTTTGCAAGGTGTCTGCTGGGGCTCAGCCGGCAACAACAGCATCCCGTTCAGTCTTCCCACCTACCCCACGCACCCAAAACCATGCCCTTGGCACCCACTGCGGGCCAGGCTCTAGGCACTTCCCTTACCTGCCATCGTTGAATGCTGACCAGCCCTGGAGGCTGAGCATTCCAAGTGCCCGTCTTATAGAAGGGGAAAAATGATCCCGGAGTGTTAGCCCGCCTGCCCCCACTCTCACGGGGAAGTGGCAGAGCCGAGGCTGGTTCCTGCAACTCCTCAAAGCCAGGTCATGTTGCTGTCCACACTGGCAGCTCCCAAGTCTCAGGCACTGAGTATGACAGTGGTCCTTTGCCCCCAGCACTCTGACACAGGGGGCGCACTTCTCCCCTTGTCCCATGGCTAGAAGACAATCTCACAGAAGTTAAGGAAGAGTATGCAGCTCAGAAGGAACACGCGGCCCTCAGTCACAGCAGCCGCCAGCAGTGTCCTGTCACCCAGCAAATGACTGAGAAGGCCATTGGCTGGGCCAGTGAGGCTGGGCGAGGGATTCTGTACTTGTCCCAAGCTGCAAGGCCATGCCCTCACAGCTTAGGAAACTGAGGAAAGGTGGGGTTCTTGGTTTTCTGTTTTGCCTCCAGCCACAACTTCAGCACCTGGGGCAGTGCCCAGCACAATGGAGCTGCCTTCTGAATGTTTGCTCAGTGACTGAATCACAGAATGCAATGGGTTCATGTCTGGGGCCTAAGCCTGGGAGCAAGGAACTGACTGAGCAAAAACTTCCCAGGCCCCTGGGAAGTTCACAAGCATCGGGCCTGGTAGCAGGAACCGTGGCGAGGGGGAAACCAGGAGGATGGTGGAGGATGGTGAAGGTTTAATTTAGCTCCTAGCAGCTCTTTGAATTATTAATCTCCTACTGACATTTCTGTGACATGTCTGTCACAGACTGTCCCCTCCAAGAGTCTGGACCCGTGGCCTCACCTGCCTTCCTCTGCCCCAGAAGGAACTTCTACCAGCATGAGAAGGGGAAGGAAACCCTCCCAGCTCCTGTCCCAGTTCTGCTGCCCATGGGGTCTTAAGATAGGACAGGCATGTGGTGGGAACTCTAAACACTTAGACCTCATCCTGAGCTGGATGGGGGATGTCAGAGCCTACCCTGGAACACTGTGCCCTAGACAGCAATTGCAATAAGTGGCTCTGTTTATTGATATTTAATCCTTAGTCCTCCCCACAACTCTCCAAATAGGTGCAGTTCTCTTTTGAGTAAACGAGTTCAGAGAAGTCAAGATATTTTCTCAGAGTCACATAGCAGATTGGTTCCCGAGCTGGTTTTGAACCCTGAGCTGTCCGACTCGAAAGTATGTGATTTTAACCACCTGCCACCCTGGTACGGTCAAGCCACCAGGGCCCTGCCTCACTCCCTGGGTGGGCCCAATGGCCACACAGAGCCTTTTGCCAAGGACCATTCTAGAGAAGCTTGCTGAGTAAGGGAATGAAACAGTCCGCCCCTTTACCAGCCCATCAGTGTCTAGCCTTGCTGCTACGAAAGACTAGGGTGGGGTGCTCAGCCCCGAGTGTACCCTGAAACCACCTGGGGGACCTTCACAGTACTCACGGCCAGGCCCCACACCCCCACCATGGGCTGAGCTGTCCTCAAGGGCCAGGGCCAGCTCTGACTGCTGCTCACTGTCATGCGCCAGCACCAGGAATAGAGCCTGCCAGGGACCCGGGATGCATCTGTTGCCTGCTGTTGGCATTGTCATTCCCATTTTGCATATTGGAGAAGCTGATGCTCCCCTGGGGTCACTGAGCAGGTGTGGTAGGCATCTGAGTGCTCCAAGCCTTTCCTTCCTCCCCTCAATTGACTTATCTTTCTCTGCCCTGTGAACAGCAGGAGCTTCCAGCCCGTGTGAACCTCTCAGCTGCCCCAGCCCCAGTCTCTGCTGTGCCCACCGGCCTGCACTCCAAGATGGACCAGCTGGAGGGGCAGCTGCTGGCCCAGGTGCTGGCCCTGGAGAAGGAGCGTGCGGCCCTCAGCCACAGCAGCCGCCGGCAGAGGCAGGAAGTGGAAAAGGAGTTGGACGTCCTGCAGGGTCGTGTGGCTGAGCTGGAGCATGGTGGGTCCTGGGTCCTGCAGAGGGCAATGGAGGGGTCCTCAGGGTGACAGAGCCACTCAAAAAATATATCCATGCTCCCCAGAGGCTAACACGGACAGACGGGAGGGTGGGGAGAAGGCTGTGGAACACACAATGGAGAGAATCATTGGGGGATATTATTATCATTATCGACATTATTAACAGGTCTCATTTTCTGGCACTTACTGTGTCCTGGGAGGGGGTGAAGTACTTGATACATCAGCTGATTTAATCTTCACAGTTTTCACAGATGAGAAAACCGAAACTCAGAGAAGTCAAGTGATGTGCTCAAGGTCACACAGACAAAAGTAGTGGGTCTAGACCTCAAACAAGGTCTGACTCCACAGTCATACATTTAACCACCCACAAAATAGCAATTTCAAGGAATCGGTCAGGATTTTGTTTAACACCTGTGCCTGGCACTGCCAAGGGTCAGAGGAACATAGTGGGCAGGGTGCAGGTATGAGCATAAGGAAACCTGGCTCCTGGTTGCATATCTGTCTATGGCTTGCTCTGTGACCTCAGAAGTTCACTTCCTTCCCCAGGCCTCAGTTTTCCTCATCTGAAAAATGGGGGTTTAGGACTCATGAGCTCTCAAGGACCTTTCAGCTTTGCAGTCTTGTGAAGACCACCCTTAAGAGGCTTACAGACAAGCTGGGGAGAACAGGGGAAATGATGAGCAGTTAGCTGGGACCAGCTTACATGGGGAACAGGGGTTCAGGAGAAGAAAATACAGGGCCAGGCACAGTGGCTCATGCCTGTTATCCCGACACTTTGGGAGGCTGAGGTGGGTGGATCACCTGAGGTCAGGAGTTCAAGGCCAGCCTAGCCATCATGGCAAAACCCCATTTCTACTAAAAATACAAAAATTAGCTGGGTGTGGTGGTGCATGCCTGTAATCCCAGCTACTCAGGAGGCTGAGGCAAGATAATTGCTTGAGCCTGGGAGGTGGAGGTCTCAGTGAGCTGAGATTGCACCACTGCACTCCAGCCTGGGCAACAGAGGGAAATTGTCTCAAAAAAACAAAACAAAACAAAACAAAACAAAAAAAACACAAAAGAAAGAAAATCCAAGCTGCTTCCTGGAGGAGGCGGCCCTCAAGCTACTTCTTGAAAACAGAGGTGGGGAGCAAATTTCAGAATGGAGGGGCCATTGCAGGGACTCAGCTGCAGAGGAGGGACAGGTCTGGTGGCTCAGGGCCAGCATCCTGGCTGGGGCACAGGGACAGGAGAAGCAACCTCCAGCCCTCCTCAGCCCTGCCTCTGGTCTGTCTACCCCAAGTCTCCCAAGGGGTCAGGGGAGACAAGTTTAATTTGTTGAAGGTCACGTGGCTGGGAAGTGGGGGAGGCGAGATTTGGTCTCAGGACATCTGAGGTCCAGAACCCCTGCACTTTAATCATGCCCCTCAACACAGAGGTGGAGCAGAGAGGGCCCCGAAGGCACTGGGCATGCAGCAGGTGCCTGGGAGCTGTTAGCCTTCTTTCTGAAGTGTGCGCTGTCCACCCCACCCTTTTCGGTGTCCACCGACCTCCACCACATCTGCCTTGCCCACCCTCAGGGTCCTCAGCCTACAGTCCCCCAGACGCCTTCAAGATCAGCATCCCCATCCGTAACAACTACATGTACGCCCGCGTGCGGAAGGCGCTGCCCGAGCTCTACGCATTCACCGCCTGCATGTGGCTGCGGTCCAGGTCCAGCGGCACCGGCCAGGGCACCCCCTTCTCCTACTCGGTGCCTGGGCAGGCCAACGAGATTGTACTGCTAGAGACGGGCCATGAGCCCATGGAGCTGCTGATCAACGACAAGGTGGGCAGGGCTGGCGGGGAGGGCTGGTGGGGGGGACGGCGACCCTTCCAGGAGCTCCCACTCCACACTGGGCTCTTTCATTCTCCTGCTCATTCTCCTGCTCTGCATATTCAGCACACATTAAATGCCTACTGTGTGCCAGGCTGGGCTCTGGGAATATAAAGACAAGCCAGACATGGGGCTACCGGAAGAGAGGCTGTGTCTAATGGAGGCTCTAAGTGTTGTTCCATTTTACAGAGGAGGCAAGTGAAGCTCTTGGAGATCCAGTGACTTCCCCAGTGACCCAGCTATGGGACAGGGGTGAGGTGTCTGCCGCCAGGGCCCTGCTCATCCTCCTGGACTTAAAGAGAAGGGAGGTGGCTGGGCGCGGTGGCTCATGCCTGTAATCCCAGCACTTTGGGAGGCCGAGGCGGGCAGATCATGAGGTCAGGAGATCGAGACCATCCTGGCTAACACGGTGAAACCCCGTCTTTACTAAAAATACAAAAAAATTAGCTGGGTGTGGTGGTGGGTGCCTGTAGTCCCAGCTACTCGGGAGGCTGAGGCAGGAGAATGGCCAGAACCTGGGAGGCAGAGCTTGCAGTGAGCCGAGATCGCGCCACTGCACTCCAGCCTGGGTGACAGAGTGAGACTCTGTGTCAAAAAAACAAAAAGGGAGAGAGAGAGGGAAGGGAGGTGCACAGACCTACCTGGGGATGGAGGGAGGAAGGAAGTGCTCATGGCCTCCTTGTTCCTTCTACTTCCCTGGAGCCAGCCCCTCGGGCCCTCCCCGCTATGGAGAGTAGAAAGGTGTTGTGCTCAGGCTCTGGGGCCCAAATGCTGGTTTGAGTCTTGGTTCTGCATCTTCACCACTGTGTGACCTCAGACTAACCATCTACCTGCCCTGTGTCTCAGTTTTCTTATCTCTAAAGCAGGAATGATAAGAACTCTTGCCTCTTAGGGTTGTAGTGAGAAGTGGCTTAAATGCACGTAGAGGGCTTTGAGCAGAGCCCAGTGTTTAGCAGACATCAATAACTGTGAGCTATTTTTATTATACTGGGCACTGTGCTAATAAGCAGTTTACTCACATTATTACCCTTGATCTTCCCAACAGCACTGGGAAGTAGGTACCCTCATTATCGCCATTTTGCAGATGGAGAAACTGAGGCTCAGAGAGGGGAAATAATGCACCCTGGCCACACAGCTGCTGGGGTGTGATGTGATTCAGGGTCTTGGACTCCAGAAACCACCTCTTAACCCGTCCCCTGTTCTGCCCTTGGGCCACCCATCTTCCTCATGCCCAGGCCTCCCTCCCCGATGCCCCTCCTTCAGCCTGGCTGGGAGGCAGGACAAGGACAAGGCAGAGAGAATGATGTGGCAGGAGTACGGTGATTGAGGGGAGAGGAGGGGGAGTATCTTATCACTGTCATCCACTCCTAAAGCTCCTCCCCCACCTGCCACATTGCTTTGGGCCTTGCAGCCATGGTGGTCTATTGAGACCCCCTGGAAATGCAGATACCACATATCATACCCACCTGTGACCAGCACACGACACATAGAGCCACTAGGAGTGATTGACACCCATCAGAACCCAGCTCAGGAGAAGGTGCATTTCATGGCATTCTGGAGGGGGAGGAGGACGAGGGAGGAGATAAGTCCAGGGACCAGTGACTTTCCCTTGTGGCCCAATAAACCCTACGACCACCGGGGTGGCCGGATCACATCTAGATCCTGCTGCCTGGTGCCCTTCATCACCCCCTGGCTGCCGTCCTTGGCCTGGCCCAAGTTCAGCACTCAGTTCTCTTTAGAAGGAATTCAGCACCCTGGACAGGGCATCGCGCAGCCCTTTTCTGGGATACTCTGGAGTCCTTTTGAGAGCCAGCCTCACAGACTGCTCACTGTTCCCGTTTTATTCCAGCCTCTAAGCCTTTACTCCTACTGTGCCCACCACTTGGTTTGCCTAGCAATGGAGTGGTGGATCCATTGTCCTTCCCGACGGGTTTCGACGTGGCCTCTGTTCCCATATCCCCTCTACCTCTGGGCCTCGCAGCCTCTGTACCTCCCATGTGCTCTCCATTATTTTGTCTTATAGCATTGCCCCAAAGTCCTTCCATTCCTGAAGACTCAGCTCATTTAAGGCAACGACCAGCTCCACATCCCCAGTGTCCACAACAAGGCCAGGCACCACGTCAGCCTCAGAGAATGTTACATTAAATTGTGATTGCAGGCCGGGCTAGATGGCTTATGTCTGTAATCCCAGCACTCTGAGAAGCCAAGGCAGGTGGATCACCTGAGGTCAGGAGTTCAAGACCAGGCTGGCCAATATGGTGAAATCCCCTTTCTACTAAAAATACATTAAAAAAAAAAAAATTAGCTGGATGTGGTGGTGCATGCCTGTAATCCCAGCTACTCGGGAGGCTGAGGGAGGAGAATTGCTTGAAC